TCTCTCTCTCTCTCTCTCTCTCTCTCTCTCTCTCTCTCTCTCTCTCTCTCTCTCTGTGTGTGTGTGTGTGTGTGTGTGTGTGTGTGTGTGTGCCTACGGTTTACTGGGCAGTCCTGGTTGACGACATATATGTGTATAGATATATTGTCACACTGGAAATCGGAGTATATATATCGTCACACAACACAAAAAAGGAAAGAAGGAAGGAAAGCTCCATATATACATATATATTGTCACACTGTGAATCGGAGCGCAAAGGCGGAAAAAGGCAAAACAAGGAAAGGAAAAGAAGGAAGGAAAGCCCCACCTGTTCATCACCTCTTACGTACAAGGCCAGCCACGTGGATGACAGGTTGAGTGCTGGCTGCCCCCATCCCCGTGTATCATAAGGACCCACTTGTACGCAACCAGAAGGCAAAGAGGTAAAGAAAAGGAGGAGGAGGAAACCTCCTGACAGGAAAACAAAGCAAATGACACATCCCACAGATAATCCACTTGTCACAATCAACATATTTTTTCTTTTTTCTTATTTTCTTTTTTTTTTTCTCTTTTTTTCTTTTTTTCTTTAACTGTTCCCACCTCGGCAGATAGGACAGCTACGGTGAGGATGATGTGGATGTTCACAAGGATACCCAATTGCACTCCTTTTCCTGCCCATATATCTCCCGAGCACGTGCCGCCAGGGAACATACAGTGTTCAACATCCCCTTTCTTTTCCTTTTCGTTTGTTTGTTTGTTTTTTACCTCCTTTTTTCCGGCTACCCTCTTATGTTCCATTCGTTCTCCGTCCCGGTTCCGTTCGCTCTCTCTCTCTCCTCCCCCCTTCCCCCTCCCCTACCCAAAAGAACTCTTTTCTCAGGGTGTTATTCACTATCTTATCGCGCGTTGGCTTAGCTATACTCCATGGAACACAGATCCCCGGCCCCTCTTTCCCTTTCTTTTCTTAAAACGGCCACGGCCTTGAGATATCGTCGTGCAACTGACCGGCCCCAGATAATTCTAGTTCCATCTGGTAATCTATGTCCATCTGGATTCGAACTGCGGTTAGTATTTATTTATTTGTTTATTTATTTTTATTAAATATTATTTGTAGTATTTTTTTTCTAGGCTACCAGAGTGGCCCGGGGCCACTTGCCCGGCCGGGCCAAAAACAATTAAAAAAATAAAAATAAAAATAAAAATATTTTTTTAATTTTATTTTTTTTTTCTTAATTTGGTGCAGAATTTCGATGTGACCCTGAGGCAAAAGTTGTTCAGTTTATTTTTCTGCATAACATAGTTTTTTTCGGTTTTTTTTTTTTTTTTTTTTTTTTKCTGGGACCTTCCCTGGTCCTTGCACGGGCTGGCCACCCGGGACCCGGGCGGCCCGGCTGGTAGCCTCGATTTTTTTTTTTTTTCATTTTATTATTTCTTTTTTCAACACAGCCCCTGTATATTCTGGGGGGAACCAGTCCCGTTGCTTATCACCGGCAAGCATGGAAAATACCTCTTCGGATCAGAGGAGCCAAGAAACATAACCTCTTAAGGTTCCTACCGGCCAGCGGGAAACTAGTTAAAACTTAAAAGTACCCGGATCCTGCGCAGTAAACAGTGAAAAAAAAAGCTACGAAAGCAACTGTGCCTTACCTTGTTCTTCCTTTAAACCTTGTAAAAAATCGTGAAAACTCAAAAGTATTTCAACAGTTTATATGATGGGTGTACCAACTGGGGTACAGTCGTCTGCCGAACATAACGAACCCTGATTCTGAATGTATACTAGCGATCTTTCCGGTCAGGTGCAGCCAAAACGAGGGTGCGTTGTGCTCGGGGGAAGCCGGAACGCCCGTTGGCAACTTACCGTGGTTTCCCAGCGCGGCGAAGAAGAAGACAGAGCCCGATAAATTGAGCGCAAATGGAACCAAGTACTGCAAATTCCAGACAAGAACAGAAAAGAGAAAAGACAAAAGACAAAAGACAAAAGACAAAAGAGAAAAAACAAAAAAAAACAGATAAGGAGAGTCAGTACCAAAATCGATAGGGGGGAAAAAAAAAGCATGGACGAATCAAAACACGTTGACGACAACGAGATTTCTCTTCTTCTACATCTCTCTCTTAGGGACGGGTTTTGTCTTTTGCGAGTGTGTGTTTTTGTGGCCTTTGTCTGGCAGATTTCTCCTCTCGTGCATCGTGAGCTCCTCCCATCCGCGTTGCCCAATTCTGATTTTCGCAGACACAAAAAAAAGAATGAACTAAAAAAATAATAATAAAAAAATTAACGAGTTTGCTTATCTTTCTCGCTGCTCATCATCACCATTATCATCTTTGTTCTTATCATCTCTATCATTGATCACCATCATCATCATCACCAAATTGGCTATGTTGTCCACGGCGGCGAGGTTGTCAATTTGGTGTTCACAAAGTATGGAAGTATGGTGATTGGCCTCCAGACTTGTTCAATTCAATTCAATTCAATTCGATTCAATTCAATTCAATTCAATTCTTCTGCTTGCCTCCTTGCTCGGCTTCTCCTCGTATTCCTCCTCCTCGTCGTCCTTACTCATTGTGGCACGTTCTTCTTCTAGTGCTTCTAGTTCTTCTTCTAGTTCTTCTTCTCTTGCTCGAAGCTCTTTCTTTGCTTCGTAAAGGCAATCTCTTGATTTCTGCCTCACAAAAAGAACTTCTTGACGCAGTTCTTTCCACGGGCTTCCCCTCCTCCTACCCTCTTCTTCTTCTTCTTCTTCTTCTTCTTCTTCTTCAATGAGCGCGTTTTCACTGAGTGCAGTGAATTCCGTGTTCCATTGTCCCTCTCTCAAAGCATGTGCAAAGGACAGGTATTGTCCACTCTTCTTCTTCTTCTTCTTCTTCTTCTTCTTCTTCAGATTGGCAATAACAACTCGACTCGACATCCGTGTGCAGACCAATCGGCCATTGCTTGACTTCTTCCTCCTCCTCCTCCTCCTCCTGCTTTTTCTTCTCCTGCTTCTTTCGACTTCCAGTAGAACAAACGGGGTTTTCTGAGTCCACCGAGGGTGGTTTCTTGGCCAGATGCAACGCACGCTAACGCCCATGCGTTCTCTTGAAAGGGATCTTGGTATAGGTGGGAACGGACATCTCATCCATTTGGTTTCCCATGAAAGTTATGGAAAGGATTTCCCGATCTGGAAAAGACAGTCGGGTGTTCAGCGCCTTAGGTCATACACATCCCAGGGAGTTGTTCTACTCAGCTCTGGACGTGATTGCAGTCAGATGCATCCAGATCCGGCCGTAATTGTAGTCAGATACATTTAGAAAAGTGCCATTGTGAGGATGCCCTTATTCATACATACTCGGTGAGCTTTTCCAGTACCCTACGCCCCTCCCCTTAAATAGCGCCCTTCTCCGCCCCCCGTCCCCCGGCCCCCCGCCCCCTAGCTCTCGACTCAAAATCGACTCAAAATCACTACCCTACTGGTAGGGTCGGTCGTCTACCCAGTACCCTGTTGCGCGCGATGGTTCGACAGCGCTTCGAGACAGAACTCCAATCCTCCCTCACCATCTCCCTCCTCCCTCACCATCTCCCTCCTCCCTCCTCCCTCCTCCCGCCTCCCTCCTCCCGCCTCCCTCCTCCCTCCTCCATCGTCTCTACTCCCTCTTCCCTTTCTGTTATCGCTCAAAAATCCTTCAGTACGTAGTTCATGCGCATCTGCCGCAGACTACGGCGGCAGGTTTTTCCCGAAATGGAAAAAATACGTTTTGCTCGCCTTTTCATGGTGACCGTCATCAATCCAACCAATCACTTCATACACGACGGACTCAAAATCAAACTGAATTGAATTCAATTAATGAATAAATTAAATATTTTCAAATCGTTTCAAATCAGAGATCATCCTCTCGGAACGAATCGAATCAACCGGCTGATGTTGCCGGGATAAAAAAAAAAAAAAAAAAAAAAAAAAAAAAAATCGAATCCACAAAGTTGATTGTGTATTACTCATCAAATAAAGATTCAGAATTTCCTTCCGCTGAAAACGACCCCCAACGACTGGCGAAAAAGAAAAGAACAAGAAAAAAAAAAAAAAAGCCAATTACTGTATTACAGCAATAATAGATGGATTGCGACAAAATATACAGCATTACTACGGGGGCCAAGTCCCACTAGCAGCGTTGATCTACCTCAACGCCTGAATCTGGACGGCTTTTTGTGGAGACGTGCAGTTCAGGAAACTCAACACCATTTCGGCACATCTCCGCAAAAACGTCCACATTCAGGCGTTGAGGTAGCTCAACGCTGCTAGTGGGACTTGGCCCCGGGCAGTTCATCGGATTGCCTGTGTTGAATTAAACTTAATTCCCGAAAAAAAAAAAAAAAAAGAACAAAGACAAAGACAACGACAGAAAAAAGAGGCATAAGAAGTTAAAAACACGTAGCATAAATTAGGCCAATCAAAAAAAGAAAAGCCTACTCAGGGGCAATTGGAGTGTTGTTTTAAAGCAGAGAGGGCTTTTTTTAACTTTTTTCTGCACTGATAAACCTTGAAGCACAGAAAAAAAGTTTTTTTTTTTTTTTTTTTTTTTGGAGGAATCAAACTTTTCATTACCAAAGGGCTTCTTGGGGTGTATTCCCGGCCCCCCTGTCGTCCTTTGGTAATGAAAAGTTCGATTCCTCCGAAAAAAAAAAAAAAAAAAAAAACTTTTTTTCTGTGCTTCAAGGTTTATCTTTTGGAAGGATTATATGTCTTGATGATACTGATTGGAAGGGACGCTGGACCCGGGGCAAGGTCCCACTTGCACGGTGATTAAGAGATTCTGGCCGTTGATCTTTGCTATCCTATCTACGGTCAATATATATCGCTTAATAAATCGTGTAAGTGGGACCTAGCCCCCGGTTTCCAGCAAGGGCCACCTCCGGGTTGTTTGTTGAGGATGATTCCCGGCCTCAATTATCATTTCATTTGAAATATAAAGCGTAATTCTTCCAAAAAAAAAAAAAAAAAAGCCCAATTTTTTTATTTTTTTTTTGGGCAAATTCGTTTTCCTCCTGTGATGCTGCACGTCTGTAAAACACATTGCTCTTTAAGGGGAAAAAAAAAAAGAAAAAAAAAAGGTCCAACCATTCAGTGCACTCGCCACAATTTTCTTTCTGTCCTACTCTGTATCATCCGTTAAAATTGGAAAGATACAGAGAAAGAAGATTAGGATGACCCCTACTCAAGATACTTTCTGTTGATAAATTGTCATAAGCCTCTGCGATACTATTTAATAATTTCACTGTATCTTCACTGTGTCATAAGCCTCTGCGATTTTTATTTTTTTTTTGGGAACCTCTGCGATATTGTCATAAGCCTCTGCGATATTATTTAATAATAATTGTCATAATAATTTTGACAACGATGACACGTATACGTGTGAGATCGTGAAGTTCGTATTGTCAGTTTTACACCGCCTACGCAAGGAAGACACGCATAGATCGAGAAACGGTCCAAAATAAAAATAAAAATAAAAATAAATAAATACTGTAAAAATTTAATTAATTAAATCATCTTTAAAATCTTCTTATTCCCTTTTTTTTTTCCTTTTTTTTTTTTGAAACTACCGTGCCATTTAAGCAGATACTCCATTTGTTCTTTTCGTTTTTTTTCGCGCAGGCGCAGAGATGTGCTGATGTACGAGAAGACAAAAAGAAAAAAAAGCAAAAAAGGTAGATTACCTCCCACTGACACAACAGATTAGCCCAGAAGCCGACAAAAGTCGAGACAACGCCCTTCTTCCCTTCCTCTGTCTTGTCTTCTGTATGCTTCTTCTTCTCCTTCCCCTCTCTTTTGCTCTCTTCACCCTCCTCCCTCCTCCTCTTCTCTACGCTCTCCTCCTGCTCATCGTCCTCCTTCTTCTCCTCCTGCCAGCGGCTACCGGTCGTCGAGCTGCTACTACCGGTCGTTCGCTGTAGTTGCTTTTGTCTTCTTCGTGCCTGTCGTTCCTCCGATATCCTAGCTCCGCGTTTGATCAGCGGATTGGTCGCACCCCACACGATTCCGATGAAAACCAACCACCCTACACCTCCCGACGCCGGCAGGCAACCCATCCTGTCCTCTCTTTCTCCCCTCCTTCCTCCCCTGCTCCCTCCCTCCTTGCTCCTTTCTCCCTTTCTTCCTTCACATCCGCATCATCCAGTCACCTGGTCGTCCGCAAGGACTCGGTTCTTCACACAGTCTCTCTCTCTCTCATCATTCATGTCGTCCCGACTCAAGGTCCTCCTAATCTCTCCTCTCCCGTCCGAGGCCAGACACATGAGTAGGCAGGTTTGTGGGACCGGTAGCAGGTCGTACGTACGGGACCGGTAGCATGCTACGGGTAGGTGCGTAGCATGCTACCAACGACGACCTCTACCGGTAGAACGCTAGTTACGCTACGCTACTCTTTTTTTCTTTTTTTTTTGGGTTTTCTCGGCCTTTTTTTTTTTTTTTTTTTTTTTTTTTTTTTTTTTTTCCGGGCCCAGTGCCCAAGGCTTATATTACCAATCAAGTTTAGAGGCCGGGGTCCTCACAGTCTACCCGGAATGGCTGGGCTTTTGGCTAAGATCAAGTGTAGTGATCACGGGAAAAAAAAAAAAAAAAAAAAAAAAAAAAAAAAAAAAAAAAAAAAAAATTTTTTTTTTTTTTTTTTTAATTAAAAAAAAAAAAAAAAAAAAAAACTCCATCGGCCTCATCATCTATTTGCGTTTCTTCTTTCTTTCTTTTATATTTGTGTTTCAACATTTATTTTGGATGCAGAATGCACGTGGCGACACCTCGCTGCCGGGGCCGTGGTCCCATTAGCAAAGAGCATCGGATTGAATGCCTGAATCTGGACGTGTTTGAGGAGAGGAGCAGGAAATCGAGATAGAACTGCTTTTCTGTATCTCTGCATAAAACAATAGCCAGATTCAGGATTTCTATCCTATCCCCTTCGCTAGTGGGACCTCGACCCTTCTCGCAACCAAGATGCTGTGCTACACCCCGTTGCGTTTCGCCGAAGCTTTCCATTTCGGGTAACGTCATCTCTCCATTTCGGGTAACGTTGTCTTTCCATTTCGGGTAACGTTATGCTACAGTAGGAGGGGGTCTTTATGGGGCTCCGAAATTCATGGGAATGGTCCAGTAGCGCGCAGCTCTACGACCGGTAGCTGAATCGGTCGCTGCAAGTGGCGCTGACCTGCGGTACGCCGCGCAGTCACCCTCCGATGTTTGCTCTTTCTTTTCTACCCTTCATGATGTCCATCCGCCAACATTTTGAATGCATCTGGACGAAATTGAGTCCACAGGCATTCAAAATGTTGGCCTACCTGTATTTTGTAATTCAACTCGGACATCTCCACCGCATTGCTGCACTTGGGGCCTCGCTCCACCACTCACCAATTGTGCAAAATGAGAATGTCACCAATTTGTGCAAAATGAGAATGTCACCAATTTGTGCAAAATGAGAATGAACTTCTACCTAGAACGTGGAAACATACACAGCCATTTTTTTATTTTTGGTCGTTTGTGCATGTGCTGTGCTTCAAAAGGTATCCCATTTAGAATAGAAATCTGACAAGAATCCACCAACAATTGGCCTATCTCAGTTGGTACACCCCTGAACTGAACTGTTGAAAAATACAGACTCAAGTTCTTGAGATGAAGAGGAAATCTCAAAAGAATCTAGATCCAGTGGCCTAGTAGCTCAGTTGGTAAGGCACACAAATGGCATGCAGGAGGTCTTGGGTTCAATCCCCATTGGCCTCGTGTACCTTCCTGGGCATGCTTGGCGCCCGCCACCTAGAGATAGCCCGTTGGTCCCCCCAATTGGCATTAAAAAGCAGTCTCTGCTGACGTTCATAGGGGGAGGGGTAATCGGGGAGGCACAGCAACAGGCCACCTCAGATGCTGCTCGGTCCCTCTGCTACTGGGTGTCCCCTGGCCGGTATCCCCCATTGGGGGTTCCCTGATGGCAATAAGCCCACCCTGGGCTGAAAAGGCCACCCTATGTCAGATTAGACAGAAAGATTGAAACCGATGATAAAATCTCAAGGGCATCATCCTTTAAAAACAATAATACACCCTGGGCTGAAAAGGCCACCCTATGTCAGATTAGACGGAAAGATTGAAACCGATGTCAAGGGCATCATCCTTTAAAAACAATAATAATAAAATCGCCAACCCTAGCCAGGAACCCACACACTGGTGGAAACAGAAAGTGGTGGGGGATACGTAGCTCTCCCCTGCAGAGGAGTTATCTTCCAAGGATACCTAAGCTATACTCTTCTCTCATCTATCTCATCCTCTCGCTAGTCTATGTATAGAAAGGGGAAAAAGAATGCTCCGATCTGTTCGTGGGGAGGAGGAGCACGTGCTGGGAACCGGGCCCAGCGTCCCTTATGTATGAATCGTACATCTTTTGAACAGTCAATCATCAGAACCTAACCACTGTGCTGGAAACCGGGTCCAGCGTCCCATGTCAATCTTTGTCAACATTTCCTCCTTTTCTTCTGAGATCTTCAATAAGACTAGAAAGATTGTGATACAAGAACAGCACCTCCAAGTCAAGGAGACTAACAGCTGTACCATCTTTGCTGACAGGCAGGGCTGCTTTGGAAGCAAGAAGAAGAGTCCCCCTTGGTTAGTGCGTATGTGGGCTGAAGGAAATAAGGTGGTTTCAGTTAGAGTCTGCAGAAGGTATAGGAGACGAGACAGGAATTTGGTATGGATGTGTACTTAGGCAATGTTAGGGTCGCTGTAGACCCGCTTGTGTTGATCTTGCTCCACAGAAAAGGGCCTGACGTTTACTGTGAGTATGAAATGAGGTTATTGCTCCCTTTTCATGTGCTTCAAGGATGATCTTTTTTGGAAGAAGGTTAGATAGTTGGACTAAATGAGATGGGGTGTGACGCCCAAACCTCACGCCCAGTGCGACTTCCTGATCGGAGTGGGATGGGGGCCCGGAAGTGCGAAAAAGGGGTGTGCCAAGGATTTTAGGATAGTGGGGGTGGAGTTCCAGGTCAGAACTGAAATCTCCTGTGGCAAGCCTTGGGGCCAGTTATGCAAGATAGTAAGTGCGAACCGCGTCCGACTTTTATGCCTTGGGGGATGTCATCGCCGTCCCCGCGAGCTTCGTTGTTGTTGTTGTTGTTGTTGTTGTTGTTGTTGTTGTTGTTGTTGTTGTTGTTGTTGTTGTTTTAACTTCACCTTGGGTGGTGCTAGGGGTGCTGATATGGACAGACACCGCTAGCACCCCCAGGCAGGCTCCATCTATTGGTGGGGAGCATCACCTGCTGGAAACCGGGTCCAGCGTCCCTTACATTTGAAAGGAAGAACATGAAGAACATGAGATATCGTGCGATAGCTTGCTGGAAACCGGGTCCAGCGTCCCATTGCTTTATATCCTATTTCCCTCAAAACAAGCCCCTTGGCCTAGGGCCCCCCAGGGTCACTGGGGGGCACCAGTGGTCCCTGCCTGTTCCCTAGTCCACCTTCTGGCTGGAAAACGGGTCCAGCGTCCCAGCGAGGCCCAGTTCCTCAGCCCATCTTTATGGATATGCTATCGTGCTATCCCACGCTGCTGAGCCCTACTTATCCTTCTCATCCTGATGAGCATTGCTGAGCCTCTCTAAATCTATTCAGCACCTATTCTGAACCTATTCTGAACCTTTCTGAACCTTTCAGAATCTTTCTGAATCGTTCTGAATCTTCTGGATACTTCTGACTCTTTCTGAACCTATCTGAACCTTTCTGACAGTTTCTGGGCCTTTCTGATCCTTTCTGATCCTATCTGATTCCTTTCTGATCCTTTCTGTCTGAAACTTGCTGAACCTTTCTGAACTTTCTGAACTTTTCTGAACCTTCTGAGCCTTCCACAACCTGCCTGAAACTTCCAAACCTTCTGAACCTTGTGTACAGTCGTCCTGTCGTCTCAGTTCATGCCGTTGCCAGTGCTTCCACTAAGGACAACGGGTGGGGGGGGAAGGGATCTGCGAAGTCCTGGGCTGGCCGTAAAGGGACGCCCGGATCGATTTTGGTCCAATCATGAAAAATCAGCCGGTAGTCCCTTGCCATTCCCTCCTGGGGTTCTTCCCTCTGGTTGAGCCCGGACCACTTTATCTCTGCCACCCAGCCTTCCCTAGCCCCCCACAGCCAGTCTTTACTAAAGTGGGAGATGGTCTTGTTCATGTCCCCCCAAGTATATGACTGGTCGAGCTTGTCTTTGACTGCCTTCCGTTGTGTTTCAATTTCGAATTGAACCAATGTCCGTACTTGTTCCATGGCTTCTCCCTCCTCCACCTGCGCCCCCTCTATCTCCAAGATGCATGGCCTCCACCATATGGTCCGTAAGACACTCCGCCTGCCCAGTCTGAACATATTTTCTACAAATGTGTTTCCCCGGATTGGGGGGTAGTGTCCGAGGAGTATGGCCCTCCAATCCCATGGCCACGTCTCGCCGGGGACAATGTGACGCCAAATTCTATCCCAACTTCTCCACATTAGCGCTGACGCAGGGCATTGGAGAAAAATATGTTCTATGGTCTCCGCCCGCTTCGTCCCAGGGAAGCTCTGACAGCATTTTTGACACCATGGAAGTGCTTTCCCTTGCTGTTCTAAACGTGTGTGGTCTATCAACCAATCATTGGTTGGTAGGCACCTATGTTCGATTTGCCATTGGAGGGCCGAGATTTTGGCGGGTCTGCATCTATGGTGAGCGAACCATCRAATGGGTTTAAGCAGACTACGATCAATGTTAAGATGGCGATACCATCTGTCCTCCACACGGTCCCTCAATCTACATTTGGGTCTGATCATTCGGTAGGCTGATTTAGTTTTTAGATTGTGTAGTGTCAGTCAGTTGTCCCCTCCTTTACCGGCCGGGTTACTTTGGGTCCATCGTCATTCCGCCGGATCTAAGGGGAGATCCTCAATTGGAGTCATAGGGCAATACACCTTCGGACATCTATCCTCCTCAAGCACCCTGATACGATATATCTCCTTTTGGTCCTTCCATATAAAGGGTTGTTGATTTCATTCCAGTCTTCCCTCTTTTTGAATGGAGAAGACTTCTATTAGTGCATCTTTAGGACCTGTAAGGTGCACACGCCCCACTTCTTTCTCATGATCGGGTAACCCCACCCAGTTCCCTTCCTTTAAACATGGACCTTTCCTGAGGATGGTGAACCAATCGAGAGGGAAGCTCTCGATGAGATCGTTTGAGTGCTTTCTCAGTGAAATGGCAGTACCGCAGCCATGTACGCGTCCTTCCTATACTCTTTCAGTTGCCGGCCTCCCGATCCCAAAGATCCCCGACCCTCTGGACCCCATGTCTTACCCATCCCTTCCATGGGGCCTCCGAGCTGTTCCGCACG